GTTTATTCCCGAATCATACACATATTTGGAGTATTTAACCAACATTATAAAGATTGTTTTTTAATAGCAGCCAGCACATAGCAAGCATAGTGAGACAAGTATGCATGAATGTGAAGTCTAGATCTGTACTGTAGATTAAACATTAGATGGGATGGAGAATGCAATGTATGTCATTCTAATACGGGACATGACATGCATTTTTTGCCAATTTTTGGTTCCTTTTTTAATCTATGTAATACTGTGCTAAAATTATCTTGTGGTAAAATGTTTAGGTGCTAATACTGTTTAATTTGTTACCACAAAGATTATTTTGGCTCAGTTCTGTTGAGGGAGAAATTTTCACTGTGTTTAATTTTAGTGAGTTTGATATAGCTACGATATTCACAAATTCAGTCGTTTGGGAAGTAAACAATAAATTCTGTTTGTTAAATTTGAATATTCACTGGGTTTTAATTTATCGCATTTCAATCTAAAAAAATAAAAAGCGAAAAATAAAACACAGTGAATAATCAGACTAAAGAATATCAACATAGATTTCAAAATATGAACAAATTGGCAAATAACGCAGATTTTTGCCCTTTGAAAATGTACCTTTCTCCACAAACCTAAATACAGCATTCAAGACTTCAGGGTTAAACAAAAAAAAAGTATTATAGATGGAATATATCTGGTATGGTGTTCTCCTGAGATCTTTCAAACACTGCACACAATGAGAGTACCAAAAGGAACACCAAAAGTGTGCTAATTATGTTATTGACGCTATAGACTATAAAAACAAAATCATTGATGATCTAGAGAGAAACCTTGTTATTGTCAAAATAAAGTTATAAGAAAAACCAAAACCACAGTCTCCCTATCAATTATTCATTGCAACACAGTCCCTAAGTTGAAGTACTGTGATTGCAACATAATGTACCTGGAAATATTACCGGTGTTCCGCACTTTCAAATCCAACATGCCAATACACCTTCACACAACCAAAACACATGGCGTTCTGGTGAGCTATTGGCCATTTATGTGACGAAATGAGCCCCCCCCCCCCCCTATGCAGACGAAATTGAAACATTTTTACACCTGAGCACCCAAGTATCTAAGGTAACATTGGAACTTGAAATTTGCCAATTTCATTTCAATTATAACAACCATCTCAATGAAAGTGGATAATTTCCAAATGATTCATCGCAAAGTCATAACAAAATGCTATGCAATGTCCATGGGTTGCAAAAAAGATTGATAGAGAGATCACTGTTTTCCTGATCAGTATTGTAAAATTACTTTATTTTTAATATCTGAAATTAATTTTCGTTGAAAAGACACCCAGGTCATTTTGTACAAATTTTATTTGAATTGAATCGGAATGTGTAATATAACAATATTAAGCTATTTGAACTGGCTTTGATTTTAACTGATTCATTTGTTTAACAAAAATAGTGCAAAGAAATTCCAAGTAAAAATACTTAACAGTAGGTACCTCATGTCTGGGTTTTACATAATCCTATACAATGACATGTGTTAAAAGTCAATACTAGTAATTAATATAATAACATAGTTGAACTCTGGTGACCTTGCCCTTTGTTATATAATATAATTCCCTTTAACATATTTTGTTTCAATATAAATATGCATTGTCATAATTAATTTTGAGTACAAACAAGTTTTGG